AATTCTCTTGGCAGAATAAATTATTCTACTTTTTGGTCAGATGGGAGAATTTCACTGAGGAGCAAGCTGTGAAAAAGTGTAGAAATTGTGCCCAAGGCCGGGTGGGACGGCAGTGCCAGCGAATGGCCACCGTGAGAACACGCATGTTCGCATGTTGCTGCGGGTCCCACGTTGGTTCTGGGTCCTCCGGGGACACTCGGAACAAGCTGGGCTCCTCAGCCTGTCGTTGAATCTAGCCGGAAATTGGAATGAGCTGTGAATTATGGCTTAGCGTTGCCCTTCCATTTGTATGGGGCTGTGGAAGTAATGACCGAGGATTTAGGACCAGGTGCCTTGTGGAATGTATCCCGCAGGCAGGTGTGTCGAGCGGAGGGGAGTGGTCCTGCGGCCGGCCCCCGGGTCAAGCCTCAGAGCCCACCTCTCTGCCTCCGCGGCGGCCGTCCTGCGGTCACCCAGTGGACAGGATCGCCGCAAGGACGGTTCGGTTTGGGGGTAGGCGTTTTCTAAGTGTTTTGTCACCTCCCTGATGTAATAAAGAGGGGTGCTGAGCCTCTCTCATGCCAGCTCGGCGTCCCCATTGCTAATGGTCCCAGGCTGGCTGTGGCTTCCAAAGCCCTGTCAAACCCCTGTGTGGCCACCCAGGCCCTGCTCTGACGGCTGCGGCCATCCCAGGTGCCGCTTCGCGTGCCACAGCTCCAGGTGGCTCCAGGTTACTGTCATTCTGAGTGTTTTGGCTGCGTCATGCAATTTTGCCTCTTCTCTCAGTGCTCTCTGTCACCGTGTCTGCCCTCGGCAGCCGCGCTTTTTCCGGTTTGTGGCGGTTTGCTCAATCAGGCGGCTCACGTTGGAAACGCAGGCGGAAGAGTCTTTAAGCATCGGTGAGGGCCTTGAGCATACTTTCTGCAGGCAAAGTGCGTGGGCTTTGGGGTGTGGATTTTCACTTAGTACCTGTTTGTGAGCGAGCCACGCTGGAACCAGAGCACGCAAGCTCCGTTTTGTCACTTTGGGTTCTCAGTAGTGTTTTGGGTCCATGAAGTTGTTTGGGCAGGCGGCCTATGGGGATACCTGGTGGTCTGTTGGTACTGTAAGATCTCTGAGAGATCAAGGGTTAGTTTTATAAGGATCCCATTTGTGGAAATCACTTTTTTTCTTTTCTAAAAAATGGTTATAGGATTTAAAGGAGATGCCTCTTGTTGGGCAATTTAAGTTAGTATGTGTATTGTGTATGTGCCCAGCTCACTGTCGTTTCTGTCTCTCTCCTTTACTCCTTAAGGAGGTGACAGAGGTGTCTGTTGATGGGAGGCTACGGCAGGGTGCCGTGATCACAGAGGGGAGAAGGACTTTACACTCCCTTTTTCACAAGGAGCTTACGGCAAAGTGGTACTGACCACATGCTCTACTGCTGGGTCTCATCTCCCTTTGTGCAGCTGGGCCCTTGGGATAGATCACAGACTTCACACGTTTCCCTGTTAATCATCTCAGTAGATTTGTCTCCTGCTAGCTTTTGATCTTGTCTCTTGCACAGACGGCCTCTCTCTGTCTCACCCGTATCTCCGTCCTGGAGGGATGCATCTTCCGTGTCCTCATCCAGGTCAGGGCAAGGCAAAGGGAAGCCCCTTAGGCATCCTCAAGGACCTCCCTTCAGACTGCCAATGGCCCATTTGTCACATTCCCGGATGTGGCTGTTCGGATGTCTGTGCGCCCACGCACAAGCATTGGCCCCTTTGATGGATGCTTCAGCTGCAGTCCAGGCTTGGGCTGCCGGCATCGGCTGCGAGCCAAAGGGTCTTGTTGGCCGGTGTCCATCTCTCGGGGTCAGCCCTGCTGTGGAGATCCCACCCCATGGACACGGGCTGGAGGGAAGCGTGAAAACGGTCAAAGGTGTGGCAGGTGGGGTGGATGCAGGGTGTCCTGTCACACAGGTGTGAGGCTGAGTGCGTGTGGGGTGGGCCCCAAGGACCCTGGAGCTCCTCACTTGCTGGGGAGCCTTGTGTGGACTCGTCTCCTCTGATCACTTTGCCCCGAATAGTTGGCCCATAGTTTTTTTTTAAAAACGGTTTTATTTTCTTTTTAATTATGGTAAGACACATGTAACATAAATCTTCCCATCGTAACTATTTTTAAGTGTACGATTCAGACGTGTTAAATACATTCCCATTGTTGCACAACCAGTGTCCCGAACTCTTTCAGCTTGCAAAACCGAAACTGCTCCCCCGTGAGCTGCTCCCCGCTCCCCTCCCTGGCCTGGCCACCACCGTCCCCTTCCTGTCCCTGGATCTGACTGCTCTGGGTCCCTCACAGAGTGGAATCATGTGGTATTTGTTCTTTTGTATAATAACCGGCTTATTCTACTCAGCGTAATGTCCTCGAGGTTCATGCGTGTTGTAGCATGTGTCAGAATTCCCTTCTTTTTGAGGCTGAATAATATTCCATTTTGTGAATATTCTTTACAGGTTTTAATCCCAGAGTCCTTAGCTTCCTCTGGTCCTCAGTTTCCCCATCAATCTAGTGTCGCGTGTATGCGTGTAGGGGGGGTGTGAGCTAGGCCATAGGTACAGACTCTTCTCCCTGCCACAGCCTTGGTTCTGTGAGTTCGTTTATGTTTCTTAACCTGCAAATCTGGGTTCTGAGGGCCAGGAGTATAGTTACGAGTTGCTTTCTTGGGGCCCCACTGCAGGTGTGTCCTGGCGGGATAGGCTCCAGGGAAGGAGGCTCTGTCACTACCGTGTCTGGCAGGTGGTCACAGTCACCACCGAGTCACAGAGCGTTCAACTCACCATCAGATGCTTACACTGGAGCAAGACCTCGGCTAGAGGCAAGAACCTGTCTTAGGACAGGTGGAGCCTGTGGACGGTGGCCCCTTCCAGGTCCTGGGAGCCCCCACCCCCTGCCAAGCTCTCCTCTGACCTTCAGAGTGTGTGGCTCTGGGCTCCCCAGCCCCCCGAACCCCCCCTCAGACATGCCGAGGGGCTGTATTTAACCTTTCCTCTTTTTAACATTCATTTAAAATTAAAGTTATGTTTCTAAGTTTAAAAGAAATTCACGTTCATTGTAGAAAACCAAGAAAAGTTCTAAATAGACACAGAGAGGAAAATACAAACTGGGAACCAGCATTCTGAATAATCTGTTCTCTTCACACTGTAGGTGTGCAGCTCCCTACTGAGCGCCATTTGGGAGGGAGACTTGGAGGGGAGACAGGCCCCAGGGGCGGGTCCCGGTTCTCAGGAAGGCTTGGGGCTCATGGTGCTAACGTAGACATCCTTCCCAGCAAAAACTGCCACTATCCGCAGGGCACCTCTCCGCGACTGGTGTCAGTGTGTGGCTGTCTGCGTCAGAGCCACCAGGGGAAGCGGAGCAGCAGGACTTGGGGTGGACCGAATGCACACCAGGCTAGAAGGCAGCCGGGCGTGCAGGCAGCGGGCGAGCTCTCAGAACCCCGGGACGCCGTGCATTCGTGCCTCGCCTCCCACTCGGCCTGGTGTCCGCTGCCTGCTGTGTCAGCCCCTCGGCCATGATCAAGGCAGGAAGCCACGGGGCATTTAAACCTCCTGTTATACTTGCAGAAGGGCCACAGAAGGTTCTGGTTCCAGGTCTGAAATAAACTATGCAAATGCAGAGCCTCAGTCCCCTCCCCTGGAGAGTGGGGATGGGCAGTGCCCACCCCTCGGGGCAGCCTGCTGGGGGTGGTTAAGGTGAGCCTCCTCCTGTCTCCCAGCAGGCTGGGCAAGGAAGAGAAAGATGCTCGGATGTGCTTGAGGGGAGAGGAAGGTGCCTGGCATTGTCACTGCAAAGCCTGTCCCCAGGAAAGGAGGGAGGGGACACCTCCGCTGCCCGCAGAGCTGATGCAACCGTGGCTGCCCCTGAAGGCTGACCTCCAGGAGTGGGTGCCAGTCTGGGTGGCCTTCCAAGCCCCCGTGGGCATGGGCATCGAGTCTCATGAGTACTGCCCCTTGGTGGCCCCAGGGAGAGTTCCAGCCCATGCTCAGTGTGGCAGAACAATGGCCTAAAGCCCATCTGAAACCTGTGGGCCTGTCCAGGACAGCGGGGGATGGGGGAGACAGGGGGTGTTGACCTTGATAAGGACCTCGATCCTGGATGGGGCCCCTTCAGAAATTCTGTGGCCATGCCCCGTGTCATCCCCCGCCAAGAGGGGCTGTGGGTGAGAAGGATTAACCTGGGCTTGGCGCTGTGCTAAGCACTTTCCAAACTCATTCCCTCAGTGCTTCTCAAACCCATCAGCGACACCCTTGGGCCATCCGCAAGACCCGTTCACTAAATGGTTAGGTGCAAACAACTCCGTAAGTACTTATGTCCCAACAACTTAGTAGCCATTTGAAAAATAATACTTATAAATTGAAAGAAAAATGATACTTTTATTTTTAAATAGCCACCATTCCTTTCTAGTGGGCTCATGCGCTTGGTAAGCTGCATGCGGCTTTTCTAATCTTGGGTCGTACTGGACGCCACCACCCACATTTCATATTCCATGTGGAGTTTTGCGAGGTGCTTGCGAAATCCAGCTTCGCCAAGACATGACACCGTGGAAAGGAACAGGGCGTGGTCACTGCCTCCAGCCAGCAGCTCGCACGGCACCTGACAGACGTGGCTGGGTTCCCCCGAACGTCCCAGGTCTCCCCGCAGTGCCCTGCGAGTTCTAGGGGTGCCTCGGCGCATAGTTTGGCAGTGAGGGTTACTTCATGAGAGCCTCCTAACGCTCTGTGATGGAGGCACTATCCCACTCGACAGCAGCAGAGGCCAAGGCTCAGAGAAGTCAAGTTATTGGCCTAAGGCCACACAGCTGGCTGGAGAGGGAGCCAGGACTGGCCAGGTCTCCCTGATGCTCTGACAGTCCACTGGGCTCTCCACCAGGTCCCTTGACGGGCCTCAGTATCTGGAACCAAATGGAATCTATGTGTCCCTCCTTCAGGCCCCAGCCTCTCCCTAACCCCAAGGGACAGACGGAGGACAGCGATGACAGCCTGTCGTTTTCCTTCCTCCAGGGGGCCCGCTGTGCTCTTGCTGTGTCCCAGACCCCATGGGGCTCTCCTTCCTGCCCACCTACGGCTGCCAGAGTAACCGCACAGCCAGTGTGGCTGCCCTACGCATGAAGGCCCGCGAGCACTCGGAAGCCGTCCTGCAGTCGGCCAACCTCCTGCCGTCCGCCAGCAGCAGCCCCGGCCCCGCCACCAAGCCGGCGCCCCCGGAGGGCAGCCAGGACAAGACCTCTCCCAGCAAGGAACAGAGCGAGGGAGAGAAGAGTGTATGAGGGTCCAGAGTGCCCTGCCCGGCCTGTCCTCCCCCAACCCCGCTTCTCCCAGCCTCAGCCCCTGCGGAAACCTCTCTGAACAGCCAGGAGACGCCTGCTGCCCCAGGGCCTCCTTGCGGACCCAGGAGGGGGAAGTGAGACCCACAGCTCCCTTGGCACCCAGAGAGTCCTTCTGGAGTCCCGCCTCTGGGGCCGTGTTGCCCTGGCTTCTTTGGCCAGGTCTCGATGGTACTTGGTAGCAGCGGAGCCCACTGTGCGGTGAGGTCTCCTGGGGTTTCCATCTGGCCCGGAGGTCTCGGGGGAGATGGAATTGCTCACCCCACCACCCGTCCTGTTCCCATCCCAGGCTGCCTCTGAAGGTCTTGCCAACCCCAAGAACTGTGGCCTGGGTCATCCTTGAGAGATGCCCGGGGCTGAAGTCTCATGGTAGGAACTGGGACTGACCCCCTCACTCTGTTTAAGAACTAGGAACTGGTGGGATCCCAGCCGACTCTCGTTCCCCTGACCAGGACTCGCCACAGTGCCCTTTCTCTTGTTGGAGGATATTGGTTGCGGGCTTGGTTAGAAGGCGAGAAGACGTAGGGTGGGGAGGGGCCGACAGGACATAGCCTGTCCCAGGGGTACATGGTGGCTCTGGCCCTAGCAGACCTCACTGGGCACATGTGGCCAGGGAGGCCATCGGCTCCATGAACCGGGAGCCGCCATCGTGACATTGTGGGCACAGAGCAAGTGCGAGCCCCACACCTGAAGCGCCCACCTGCAGGCCCCGCCTGTCTCCCGAACACAGCTGAGGGTTGGTGGGAAGTTGCTCAACTTGAAAGTAGCTCTCTGGGCCGGGGAAGGCTGAGAGCCCTTGGAGGGGGAATGAGCCTCCCCGGAACGCCTCTGAAACCATTATGCATCTGGATGAACTACCTTTCCTTGGGTCCCTGGCACGTGGAGGGGGCTCTCCAGTGGTGGCGTTTTTTACTGAAAAAAAAAAAAAGTAGGAAATGAAACGGGAATGGCGTATATGCAGAGATGGAGCACGGGGAAGATGGCTTCCCTGTGGCTCGAAGAGAATTAATTAAGGGCCAAATTTCGTAGAGATTTCTGCTTTGGTCTAGTGTGGCTGTTTTCTCCTGTGTGGATGGTAACCTCAAAGAGATCCAAGGGGAATGTGCAATAGCTTATCAGCTCTGCCACTCCCTGGCAGGGGCACCTGGGACCTGAAAGGTTGCAGTCTTTGGTGGCTTTCGCTGATGGTGTTTCCATGCAAACAGTTATTGCTTTTATGATGATTGTTTGTGTTTCAGTTATCATCAAAAGGTTCTACTTTCAGATTCCCTGCCCCCATTGTCCCCTCCTGCCCAGAGGTTCCCACAAATAATACTCCTAAGTGTAAAATGCCTTGTCTATGATTACCACAAAGCATTTGATAAACACACTGTGTCCTTTAAAACAAAAAAAAATCAAATCCTTCTTCCTGCTGTATTTTGCTTGTTGAGTACAAAGATGAAACGATTTGCCAAAAAGCGGCAAAGTCGCTTCCGTCTCCCTGTAATTACGAATGTTCGGTTGAACGATGTAAGCTCGAGCCCTTATGTACACTAACTCTTCAATCTAATTGTTTGATTAAACTCGTATTTCCTCCAGAAAGGTACATAAATAAGTGAACTGTTGAGCAAATTAAGAATACTTAACAGCATTGCATCTGAAAAGTAGTTACGCTGATTAAATTTTGTGTCCTTGAGGACTTTCAGGAAATTACTTTTGATCGTCAATAACACAATTAAGTAAACTACACACACATTAGCATGAATAATTGATAAGAAATTATGTATTACCACGAAGCACTGATTTAATAATTCATGATGCGACACTCTAGTGACTGTGCAAAACTAGATCACATCGAAAAGTCTGCCTGGTGTTACTGAAAGAAGGGAAAAAAAAAAAAAGCACCAATCCTCTGCAGAGATACCGAGTACTTAGTTTTCTTGTACAAAAGCAAAAAGTAACCAATGCATGATGTAGTTTCTGTTTGTTTAAATACCCAAATAAATTTAGAAGAGTTAAAAGAAAGACCTAAAGAGCTCAGGTCCTGTCTTTGTTCCTCCCTGCCCTGAGGCTGCAGGGCTGGGTGGAGTGGCACTCTCTAATCCTCCTGTTTGGCCAGCATGCAAATGGAACCCTTCTGGAAACTTCTAGGAGGAGGGCTTTGAGGGCTTTGCTCAGGAACCTTTTAGCAGATGTTTGGACAAGACAGGGGCCCCTATGCAGGCCAGAGCCCCCAACCAGGCATCGACAGACACGGCTCACAGGCCATTCTTGGTGAAGCCCCCTTCAGGCAGCCTTCCTTGGAGCCCCTATAGGTTGCCCTGTCTGCAGAAGTTCGTAATGGGACTATAAAAAGGCAGCTGGTCTTCAGTCTGGGAAGAAAGCTGGGCCCCAGGGATTGATTGATTATTATTATTATTCATTTATTAGTTGAAGCACACTGAAGTGCATTCCTTAATGCACTCCAGGTTACGGGGAAGGAGCCTAGAAACCGCTGACGTCATGACTGTGATGGGGCAGCAGCCCAGCCTTGTTGAGGACGATGGCCTGCCAGGAAGAGGAGCAACCATGGACGTGGCAGGGAGTCGGGGCTGGGTGGCCCTGGCGTAGGACACTGAGGGACTCGGAGGTCCCCTTGCCCATTCCCGGGCTGGTGCTTTATTTAGGAGTGCCCAGCACCTGGCCTTCTGGTTGGGTGGAAAGACCTTCCTTAGACTCTGGCACGTACTCACTGCCTGGGAACTTTACAGAGGTTAGCACATTGAATCCCAACAATCAATCCACAAGGTAAGTCTTGCTATTCCCATTTCACAGATAAGGAAACCGAGGCACAGTAAGGTTGGGCAACTTCTCCAAAGTTACATGGCTGGTAGCCTCCCATAGGGAGAGGGAGAGCTCAGCCTCGCTGCCTGTCACACTGAGAGCACTAAATGTATGAATTGATGAGGTTAATTGGGCTGTGAGGCACACTAGCGCTGGTTGGTGCTGGCAGGGTTGACAGATGTGGGTTGGGGGATAATTCTGCTGTGTTCTTGGTCATTGTGGGTTCTGTCCTAGGTGGGCCTATGGGAGGGGAGGATGCACCACCCCAGGGCCCTGTCAGACATGACTCAGCCTCTCCCTCCCCGGGCTCCAGCCTGGCAGGGACAGGGGTCAGCCTGCCCCATTTTATCTGCCTCTGAGCCAGTGCACCTGGCCTTCAGGTATTCTAGCCTATGTAGGAGCAGGCTCGGTGGGAATTCCCAATGTCAATGGTGCCCAGAGCGTCTGAGCCCCTCATACGTTTTTTCTAGCAGGAGGGGACACCAAGGAGGGGCCTGAGACTCAACCAATCCACATAATGAAAACTCTTCTTAATTAACTGGCTCTGGCCAGGGCGGTGGCTCAGGCCTGTAATCCCAGCACTCTGGGAGGCCGAGGCGGGAGGATCGTTTGAGCTCAAGAGTTTGAGACTAGCCTGAGCAAGAGCGAGACCCCGTCTCTACTAAAAATAGAAAGAAATTAGCCGGACAACTAAAAATCTATATAGAAAAAATCAGCCGGGCATAGTGGCGCATGCCTGTAGTCCCAGCTACTTGAGAGGCTGAGGCAGGAGGATCACTTGAGCCCAGGAGTTTGAGGTTGCTGTGAGCTAGGCTGACGCCACAGCATTCTAGCCTGGGCAACAGAGCGAGACTCTGTCTAAAAAAAAATTAACTGGCTTCACTGGAAAAAGTGATGAATTCAGACAAATTCAGAGCCTGACTGAAGTGGTGAAGAGCCCATTCTGCTTGTCCAGAATCCCGGCTCTCATGGCTGTATGACTCCGGGTGACTCATTCGACCTCACTGTGCTGCGGTTCTCTCTTGTGTAATAATGGCACCAGCCTCGCGCGATTCTCTGAAGATGAAGCGAGTGGTTGGCTCGGTGGTGCCTGGCACAGAGGGAGTGCCCTGCAGAGCTAGCTGTTGCCCCACGAAGCCTCGCACCTCTCAAAGCCGTGACCTTTTCCAGGTGAAAACCTTATGTTCTCAAGAAGGAAACGGGAGGGTTGGCATCAGCCATGCCTGAGCCTGCAGAGGGAGCTGGGATGGTCACACCCTTTTCCTGAACAAATCCTGTGGGCTACAGGGTGGTGTGACTTCCAGGAGAAGGCTCAGGCTCTTAGGCGGGAAAGGCACCTTGGGTGGGAACCTGCGGTACCCAGAGGCGGGGGTGTGAGGCCTGGGGAGGGGGGAGGGAAGAGATTGGCTCAGTGAAGGCTCTTTTAGTTTCAAGTAATGGGAATCACTGAAGCCAGATTAAGTCAAAAAGTGACTTTATGAGGATGCCATCCAATCTCATGGAGCTCAGGATGGTTGGGACGCTAGTCCCGGGACTCTAGTGGGAAGGCACAAGAACCGGAGGCTGTCAGGACCCTCCTCCTTTCTGCTCCTCTCTGGCGATCCCCTCTGCCTCCCGATGGCTCCGCCCCGTCTGCTTCCGCTCTCAGGGAGAGCCTCACTCAGGGTTTAGCCAGGCGGAGGTTCCCCATGGCTTTGGGGCCCAGCCAGATCCCTTGGGGAGTGAATGCGATTGGTCCAGCTTGGGCCGGGCAAACCCCTCTGGTCCAGTTAGGTGTGGCCAAGCGTGGCTGCCCTGGCCCTGCCCTCCCCTGGGGAGGAGACGCCACTCTCAGGGCCAGGGCCTGTGATCTGAGCACACACCCGGAACATGTACCCCCCGCCCTCAGACCACATCAGAGGCAGAGATGGGCACGGATACGGAAAAACTAGTCCCTGCTGAGGCAAACGAAACCCAAGGATGACACTATATTCCTTAAAGACAGAGACTATAAGGGACTTGGAACATTCATTTAAAAAATGGTAATACAGCTGCATTCTGGGCCCCCCTCCGGCACGCTGTCAGCCCTGCTTCAGAAAATTCAACCTGCGGCTATTTTTCTCTCCAGAACTTGGCCAAAACCTTCTATGGCAGCTTCTGCG